GGTTAAAGGTTAGGATTAAAACTAAAAAAAAAAGAAAAAAGGAAACGAACAAACAAACAAACGGGGGGGGGGGATTATTCGTGGAAGAAGATGTCTTAATTTTAATTAGAGCAGAAAGGATTTTATTTTTATTTATTTATTCGCATTGTGATGTGATAATAATAATAATAACAATAATAATTTATTCGCAGACTAGAAAAAAAAAAAAAGAAATAGGAAAAAAAAGACGTGGCAGTAGTAGAAGGATATACGTACGTTTAACGGATTTTAATTTTTTTTTTCTGTAACAAGTTTATGTTTTCTTTTGGTTTTCTCTTTTTTTTTCCCTTTAATTTTTCAAAATCGTTCCCCTTTCCCTCTACCCCCCACATCTCTTCCCTCTCTCTCTCCCCCCGTTCCCGCCCCCGTACCCCCCCACATTCTTAAATTTTTCCACAAAAAAAAAAGGAAAAGAAAAGAGTCGAGGAGAAAATTTCAAGTAAGAGAAAAAGTTTAAGTTTCAAGATTGAGGGGGGGTGAGGAGGGGAGGGAAGGGAAGAGAGCTTTTTTCCTTTTAATTTTAATTTTTCTTCTTTTCCCCCCCCCCCTTCCCCCCGCATTTCCGCTGTTTTTTTAGTTTTTATTCGATTTCGAAAAGAAAAATTCAAATTCAAATTGGAATCGTTTTATCTATTTATTTATTTATTAAATTCATTCACTTGGAATTTAAATTTTTTTTTTTTTTGACAAACAAAACAAACGAAAATTTTGACAGACTCCAGTTAAAAAATTTTCCAGGGAAATTTTTAAATAATATATAAATGTATGACGTCATGTTTATAAGTGACGTATTTGAAAATTTATTTTCCAATTTGTTGTTTAAAACGTCAGAAAAATAAATTTTCTATAAAAACCTCAAAATTTATTTAATTGTAGAAAAACCTTTTATTATTATTATTATTATTATCGTTTGTTTGTTTGTTGGATGTTTGTGTTCGTTAATAATTTATGGAAAAACTTTAAGATTAAAAACAATACTGGAAAATAAAACGTTGTAAATCCTTTTCCAAGCACACACACACACCTTTTCCAGGTACGAAATAAATAAAAAAAAAAAAAATCTTTCCTTTCATTTTCACATCCTATTTATAATTTCTCCAGGCAAAATTTTCCACGCCATTTTTTTTTTCATTTTACGTCGTTGTTCGCTTTAGAAAAAAAAAAAAAAAATTACAAATTTTTCCAGAATTAATAAAGGAAATTAAAAAAAAAAAAAAAAACGAAAAAGGAGGATTCGGATGAATTGACGAGTGATTGATTGCGAGGGGAACGAGAGGGAGAGGGAAGAAGAAGGAAATGGAGGGAGGGGGAAGGGGGTGAAGAAAGGGAAAGGGGTGCTTTGGGTGGTTTCTTCGTTTTACGTCACGTGATTACATAGAATTAATAATAAATAAGAATTTTCTTACCTCATCGGCGTGTAAATCCTCGAAGCTCGCCTGAAATTAATAACAATAATAATAATAATAATAATGATAATAATAATAATAATAATAATAATAATAATAATAATAATAATGATAATAATAATAATAACAGTAATAATAATAACAACAACAATAATAATAATAATTTTTATTTTATGATAACGAAAAAAAAAGAAAATTTTCTTATCAGTTCCGATTTTCCGACCTGCTAATAAATCATCATCATCATTTATTATTATTATTATTAATTTGTAATTTTTTCTCGAAAATTTTCGATAGGAAAATAATTTTTTTTTTTTCCAAGCTTAAATTATTAGTATTAATATTAATAATAATGATGATGACGATAATATCGGTAATTATTATTGTTTCTTTTTCGAATTAATTTTGGTTATTAAGTATTTAATTACTAATAATAATAATAATAATAATAATAATAATAATAATAATAATAATATTAATTTAATAAATTTCTCAAACGTTGAGAAAAATGAAAAAAAAAAAAAAAAAATTTTTTTTGTTATTCAAAAGTGTTTTATAGTCAAAAAATAGAATTATTATTATTATCGTTATTATAATAATTAACATCATCATCATCATTATTATTATTATTATTATTTAGGAAAAAATAATTGGAGCAATTAAAATTTTTTTTTGTGATATAAAATGCGCAATTATTCGCAATACAAAAAATTTTTTTGTTAAAAAATCATTATTAACACACACACACACACACTGGAACGTTTCTTCTTCTTCCATTTTTTTTAAAATTGAAAAGAGAAAAGAAAGGGAAAGAGTGAGAAAGAAAGAAAGAATGATAAAATGAATGGGAGTGAGAGACAGAGAGAGAATGAGAGGAAAAGAAAAACAGTGAGAAAGAATGAATGAAAGAGAAAAAGACAGAAAGAAAAAGAGAGAAAAAGAAAGAAAGAGAGAGAGAGAGAGAGAGTAGGAATGAAAGAGATAGAAAAAGAGAGAGAGTGAGAAAGCATGAAAGTGGGAAATGGAAAGAGTGAGAAAAAATGAGAGTGAGAAAGGGAAAGAGAGAGAGAGAGAGAGAAGGAATGAAAGAAAGATATCAGAAATAATGAATGAAAGAAAAAGAAAAAGAGGGAATAAAAGAGAGAGAGAGAGACAAAGGGAAAGGGAAAAGGGCATAGAGAAATTAAACACGTTTAAAGTTTTTTTTTTTCCATTCGATATATATATAATTGAAATTTTCCGATAACAAAGATCGAAATTTTCATTATTATTATTATCATCGAATGATAAATCGTTTAAGAATTTCGCGATTTTCCGATTACGGGAAAATTAAACGAAATAAAAATTTAAAATTTCCCCCCCCCTCCCATTTTTAATCCATTCCATTTATTTATTTATTGGTAATAATAATAATTATACCGTAATGAATTTTTTAATTTAATGTTTTGTTTCCTTTTCCTTTTTTTTTCTAACAAGTTTAAATTGTCGTTAATCGAATTACGTCGACTCTTTTTTTTTTTATAACCCGGATATTTGAATTTAATGAGGGATTTTCAAATCGTAAAGAAATAAAAAAAAATAAAATAAAAATCGAAACGAATCGTAGCAGACGACGAACGTAGGAAAATAAAAAAAATTTGTCCTGCAAAAATAAGATAAACGCGAGTTATTACTTAAAAAAAAAAAAAGTTAATTAACTCTATTACGTCACGGTTGAGAGTTTTCCCATTATTATTATTATTATTATTATTATTAACGTTTAAAAATAAAAATAAAAACTGTTATTTCTTTTTTAAATTCGACTCCAGAATTTTTTATTTAATCGTCGTGGAACTAAGAAAAAAAATTTTTTTTTGAAATCTTAACGAACGAATTCGCGTTAGGGGGAAAAAATTAAAGGGGAAAAAAAAAAAAATTTTCGTGCGTGACGTCATTTCGAACACCTACGCAGCCTCCTAGATAACTAATTATTATTCGTTTTGGGATTACAAAAAAAAAAAAAAAAAAAAGTTATCGTGGAGGCTCCGTTATAAAATTAATTCAAACTCAACGTAATGAAATCGAATACGTTTTTTTTTTTTTTTATCGAACGGAAATGGGAAATGGAAAAAAAAAATTTCGAAATCGTGGCAGGAGTCGAATTCATAAAAAAATAATAATAATAAAATAACAGGTTTGTTCGTTTGTAAATTATTTAAATGCACGTATTATTATTATTATTATTAAATACGTATAATTTATTATCAATTATCGCCGCCGCCATTTTTCTCCAACCGTTTTTTTTTTTTTTAAAACAAGATTTTAAATTATTTAGTTACAAAAAAACCACGACGCGTTTTACCGGTAGAAAATAAAAATAAAAATAAATTATTCGTCGTAAATGATAATAAATAATAATAATAATAATAATTTTATGACGTCAACATACTTTTCTTGAGCTTGTTGAATAAGTTTTTCAAACGCGTTATCGGTATAATCTTCCAGTTCATCTTCCATTCCATCATCTGAAATACAAATAAAAAAAAAAAAAAGAAAAAAAAGTAAATTCGATAAGTAAATTTTTCGATATATCGATCGATATCGATTTAAATTACTCGAATTAAAAATGGCGGATAAATGTATATAATTTTTTGTTGGTTTTTTGTAATTTTTCGCCATCCCCAACGATCTTCCCCCTTTCCCTCTTCCCTCCTATCTTCCCAATTCCCATCCCTCTCGACATTTTGTTTTTCTGGGATTTTAATGCAACAGGTGACAGAGATTTGAGATTTTTTGTTTTTTTTTTTTTTTTGGGGGGGGCGGGGGTTTGCGTTTCGAATACAAAAAAATTTTTTTTTTTGGTTGGTTACCATTTTCTCCATACGTGTCGAGAAAAGAAGCTGCGACGAGTGTTGCAAATATTAATACGATGGTTCCCCGGTAAAATATTTCTCCTTGCATCCCTGGAAAAAAGAAAATTTAATGATAATGATAATGATAATATTAATTAAAAATTCGATACGTTTTTCAAGGTAGGAGGCGGGAGGGAGAAGGGGAGAAAAGGGAGGGGAATAGAGGAAATCGTGAAAAAAAAAAATTTTTTTGATTAGGAGTGCGATTTGAGGGGGGGAAGGAGGGGCGAATGAATTTTTTCAGGAAAAGAAAAGTTTTTCCTCGTTTTAAAAATTTGAAAAAGGTTTTCTGCTGACGGTCTTTTAATGGGGGGAAAGGATGAATCGTGGGAGGGGAGGTGAAGGGAGGGGAAAATACGAGACTTGAAATTTTTTTTTCTTTTTTTGTGTGAATTTGATTTACATTAAACCTTTTTTTCATCTGTTGATAATAGGATTTCTCTCTTTCTATCTCTCTCTCTCTCTCTCTCTCTCTCTCTCTCTCTCTATCTATCTATCTATCTCTCTTTCTTTCCATTTTAAATAATTTCTTTGCCTCTTTTATACAACCTCTCTCTCTCTCTTTCTCTCTCAGCACTTTTTCCTTTACACTTTCCCTCTATCTATTTTGCATACTTTTTCAGCCTCTCTTTCACTCTCTCTCTCTTTCTCTCTCGGACATTTTTTTTTTTTCTCATCCACGATTTAAAGGCGTAAACTTTTTTTTTTTTTTTTGATTTGCAAAATAATTTTATAATTTAAAAAAAAAAAAAAAAAAAAACTTTACGCCATTTTTTTTTTTTTGCGAACGTGACAACGTGACACGTTTTAAACCCATTTAAAATTGCAAACCTTTTTTTTTTTTTTCTCTACCATCGTTAATTTTTTTTTTTTTTTTTACGACTTTCCATATTTTTCTCTCACCTTTTCCCCCACGCCACCCCTCCCACTTTTCCGTTTTGTCTAAACCTTTTCATTTTTTTAAACGTTTTTTGTGTGTAACAAACATAATAATAACGAGGTTAATGGTTACTATTTCTTTGTAAATATATTTTTAATAACTTTTACTTTTGTTAAAACAAATAAAATAACAAAACGATAGAATTTTCTAGTACGAAAAAAATAAAAGGGAGGGTCGGACATCAACAGCAAAAAAAAAAAAAATCGACAGCGGTTTTAGAAAATAATTTTCTAAAAACTTGTCATACGCATTTATTTTTATTACGTCATTTCATCCCCCCCTCCCTCTCTCCCTCCCCCCCCGAAAAAAAAAGTTTAAAAGTTTTTTATCCTTGTCAAATTCAAACCCTTTAGGGAACAACAACAACAGCAGCAGCAGCAACAGCAGCAAAAAAATTGATACTGTCGAATAAAATAAAAAAGAAAAAAAAATTTCAAAATTGGATTTTTTAAAAAAATTGTACGACAAAAAGTCTAACTTTCATTTTTAAGGCGTAATGTAATAAAAAATTTGTTTTTTTTTTTTTCGAATTTCGAGAAAAAGTTTTAAAAAGAAGGCGGTGGTGATGATGATGATGATGATGATGATGGGAGATAAACAAAAGCAGAAGAAAATCTTTTTTGATATTTTCATCATCTATGGAAAAAAAAATTTCTTTTTTTTCCCTTTCGTTCTCTTTCTCTTCCTTTTCGTTCTTCCTCTCCCACCCACCCCCCACGTTATTATATTTCATTAAAATCCATTCATTCATTCATTCAATCATTCATTGATTACATCTATCATTAAATAATAATAATAATAATAATGAATTTAATTTCTTTTTATTTATTTATAATTTTCCGATTCGTTTTTTAAAAAAAAAAAAAGGGCAAAAGAAAGTATATGAAATTTTGGAGGGAGGGGAGGGAAGGAAAGGGCGTGGGCGTGAACGTGAGAGGGAGCTCGGGGGAGGGAGGAGGTGGTGGAGGATAAAGTTTTTTTAAAAAAAATTTATTATTCATAGAGTTTTTACAAATTGAAAAGATTTTTCCTTTGTAAAGAAAAATCCATTTATTATTATTATTATTCGTTCGTTTCCTTTCACTTAAAACTAGTACCGCTGTCGGATTAATTATTTATTTAATATTATGTTCTTTTTTTCCCGAAAGAGAGAGAGAGAGAGAGAGAAAGAATCAATCGATCAATCGATAAATTAAAAAAAAAAAAACCTGTCAAATTGAATTGCGGTTTGTAATTGATTAATTTTCTATTTTTTCACTTTCACAAAGAAATAATTAATTAAATAAAAAGGTTTTTTTTTAAAAAGATTTCTTAGAATCAGACATTTTTTCCCTCTTTTTTTGACGCGAATTCGTTAATAAATTAACGTTTTTTTTTACGCGAAAAAAAAAAAAAAATGGCGTCCGACGCGTAACGCGAATACGTAATATAACGTTACTTATCAATCGATCAATCATCGTAATTAATATCGGTTTTCTTTCAAACTTCGTAAATGATCGGTTATGAAATAGAGGAGACGAAAAATTAAATTACGAAGATACCCGAACATTATATCCCCGAAGAGACGTGCGGGGTAATAAATTTAAAATTTATCAGAATTAAATTAAATTAACCGCGAATCGACCGCGATTTTTATTTTTTTTCGTAATTTTTTTTTTTTTTCTATGTTGACCTTTGACCTTTACTTCCCGTAAATTGTTTCGTCGTGACTTTTTTTTTAACAAAAAAATTTCATAATCATTTATTCGATTGTTAATTAATCGATTTAAAAAAAAAAACCGTAAAAAAAAATTATTATTATTATTACATTACTCATTCTACTTACCTGTCGTTTCTTTTTTTCCTGATTTTTTAACAAACAATCCCAACACCAACAGCAGGAGCAGGAGCAACAACAGCAGCAGCACAACAAACAAACAAGCAAACAAAAAAATTTATGTAAAAATCGTTTTTTCTTTTACTTTTTTTACTTTTTTTTTACTTTTTTTTTTCACGTACGTTTTATATAATAATAAAATCGTAAAAATTCGATGTATCGATTAATCGATTATTTATCGATTAATTATCGATTACAAAAAAAAACGATTATTATTATTATTATTCACTCGATTTTAATTCTTTTTTCGGCACCTTTTTCTTCCTTCCTTTTTATTAAACAAACAAAAATTTATAATAATAATAAGAAAAAAATTAACAAATAAATTTACGTGAGAGAGAGAGAGAGAGAGAGAGGGAAAGAGAGATAGAATATTCCAATTATTATTATTATTATCGCGATAAAAAATAAAATCGACCTGAATCGATGGCAAAAAATTTCTTAAAAAGAAAAATAATAATTTAATTAATTTAAAAAAAAAAGGGGGATGAAATAAATAACGATAATTAAATAATAATAATAATAATAATAATAATAAACGCACGAGGTAATTCTAATCCACCAACCGTATATATCGAAAACTTATTCTCGAATGATCGAGAATCGACAATTTTTTTTTTTTTTTTTTTTTTTTTCCCCCCACAACCGTTTTTAACGCTTTCAACTCTTATACGCAAAAACCTTTTTTTCCGTTTTTTCGTAAACCGTTACTAAAAGTTTTGTATTGAAAAGCGCAAGTCAATGAAACAAACAAAAACAAACCGATTTTGACGCCACTCGAATATTTTTTCTTCTGCTCCTTTTTTTATCGTGCACAACAACAACAACAACCACAACCGAAAAAAAAAAGAAAAAAAAAAAAAATTTCGAAATTGTGAATTTTTTTTTTTACGTCGAATTTTTAATTAATTAATTAATTAAATTTTTTCATTCTCGAAAAAAATCTCGTTCGATTAATCGATTCGCGCGTCGTGTAAGAAGAAAAATTTTTTTTTTTTTATCACCGTTTCGAATTTTTTTTTTTTTTTTTATTATCATTATATAAAATTATCTATAAAAAAAATATATAAATTTTTTTTTCTAAGTATTATTATCTTATCTTGTATCTTTATTCGACGGATGATTCTTCGGCAGAATGTGATTCTTCAACGACAGGAGTACCACCCGTATCGTTATCATCTTGTTTAACTTCCGATTCTGCTGGTTCCTGTTTCAACGTTGAATCCGCATCAACGTTTTCTTCTACCTGACCACCGCCACCCGTTTCCGTCGTTTCTTTTTCACCACCTTCATCAATTGATGCGACAGCTTCTTCGATTGCTTCTTCGAGAGGACCTTCTTGTATTTGATCCTTTTTAACAAAAAAAAAAAAACGTTACCCAATGTCACAAACATCACACGACTAATAATAATAATAATAATTATTTAATTACATCTTCTCCGGCCGGAGGTGGAAGTTCACCGATTTCCATTTGTCCTTCCGCTTGCATTTCACTTTCTCCATTTTCTTCCATTTCTTCTTGCTAATAACATATAAAATTTATCATTATTATTATTATTTTATTTTATTCACTTTCAAATCGAAAACCTAACAAACCTCGTATTCGTAATCGACTTCAGAAGGCGGTGGAACTTCATCTCTAACATTTTTCATTTCACCTTCTTTCCTATATTTAAAGAAAAAAAACCGTTAAAATTTTTTTCCGGTTTTAGCTATTACCCATATTTTTATCTCACTCACTTCTTTTTCTTTTCTTCTACACGTGGATAAAGTAATCTATATTCTGTCGGAAGTTGATCATCCGGATATAATTTGTCGCAAAAATAAATTCTTCTTATTCTACAATTAGCATGAATTTGAAGTCTTTGAGTTTCGACGTACGTCGAATCTAAAACGAAAGGAAATGACGTCGATATTATTATTATTATTAATAACGAGGAAAATTTCATAGCATTTCCGGTAATCATCACCATAAGCTCTTTTAGTAAAATCTGCTAAATTAAATTGTATTTGATTCCATCCTGGATTTAAACCGATCGGCATTGTCGTACCAAATGGTCTCACTTTTGTACTCGTTTGAAAATTACTCACTCTAAATCTTCTTCTCATATCCCTATCGTCTAAAATCTACAATAATCAATCAATCAATCAATCAATCAATCAATCAATCATTCAAAAACTTATTCCATCATCTTACTCACCTGTATTTCAAATGAAAAATATTTTTTTAAATTTTTTATAACCATAACGAAAAATGGTAGAGTTATACCGAGTACTTGTTTCGGTTGAATCGGAGAAAATATGTAACAGGTGGCAACATTGGTACCTCTTATTTCCAAAACTAACGTTCTAACATCTTCATCCGTTACTCTTTTAACGTGACCGTTCATGACCTTTTAATTAATTGAAAACAATAATTAATCCAATGGAAAATTAATAATTAAAAAAAAAAAAATTTTTTCCAGTTTTTTCTTTTTTACCAAACAATCCCATATTCTTAATGGATTTGATCCTCCTGCGTATAAAACGGTTAAAAATCCTTTTTGTAATGCGTTTCGATACATTTTATCTTAAAACTAATATTTTATTATAAATATATATATATATCCATCGATATTACAATAATTATTATTATTATTATTATTTACAAACAATGTCGTTTTATATCGATAATAATAATTATAATAACAAATCGATGACTTAATAATAAATAAATAATAATATAATAATAATATTTGTTTTCCTTTTCGCGACAACTACATTATATTCGTGGTAATAATAATAATAATAATATAACAAAAAAAATATATATATAATTAAAAATTTTCATTTGATTATTCATCTATGACGTCGATCATCAAAGCCTTCGAGATTTTTTTTTTTTTTTATACAATTAATCGTTTAACTTTAATAAATTATTTATTTAACGTTTATCTCTTTAATTATCATCGTCTGTAACAGCAACAGCAACAGCAGGAACAGGAGCAGCAGGAGCAAGAGTAAGAGCAGCAGCAGCAGGAGGAAGAGAAGTTCCAGCAGAAAAAAAAAAAAAAATTAATTACACGCCATGAGAACGATAAATTTTTCGCGCCATTTTTTTTCTTTCGAATTTCCCAAATAAATTAATAATAACTTATCATATTTTATTCCCTTTTTTTTTTTTTACATGTAGTTTTTATTCGGGTGACGTCATAGTGTCGCAGCGGTGGTAAATCGAATTTTACTTTTTTTTCTTTACATTTTCGTTGCAAAAAAAAAAATACACGTGTGATCGTGCGAGACACGTGCGATGAGCGCCCCCCCCCCAATTTATTATTTATTACGTAATATTAAATCCGATTTATCGACCATTTTTTTATTTAAATATATATATATACAAATTATAATTATATCATTATTTATTAATTTATTTATAAAAACAACAGCAACAGCAATAACAAAAATTTTTTTTTTTTTTTTTTTTTTTACGCATAAATTAATTAATATTTAAATAAAAAAATCTTATTATTATTATTATTATTCATTTTAATTTGTTCCACCACTCAGACTTTTCCGTTACATAATCGTTTTGTCTTTTTTAATTTCATTTACGAACGTGACGTAAGCACCCGATTTTTTTTTTTTTTTTTTTACTAAATTTCCAACTAAAACGTAGAAAATTCAATTAAAAAATTTCCCCCACCCCCACCTATATTCCACACTCCCTCTAGCGAACCCGCCAAAAAAAACAACGGAAACGGAAACGGACACGACAAATTTTCTTTTTACTGTTGGTCGGTTGATTGATTGTTTTCCCGCCATTTTTTCCGTTTTTCCTCCGTTTCTTCCAAATTATTATTATTATTATTATTGGTACGCGCACTTCCTTAAATGTTTTTTCTTTTTCTTTTTTTTTTTTTTTTAGGAACGAATTTACAAGGATCCGGCAAACGTTTCATCCGTTTTGATTTCGATTTCGCCTTCTCTTCGGTGTCAACACCAACATGATTTTCCATTTCCTTTTTCCGATCTCCAATCCAAAACGAATTTATCCATGTCTTTCGATTGATCTCCGGATTCCATCATTTTATCGTTTTGAAGAATCTAAAAAAAATAATAATACTAATCGTTCGGACGACGAAAAAACAAATTTTTTTAATCAGTGGCACCAGAAAGAGATTAGAGAGAAAGAGATAATCCCCATTTATAAAAAAATCCCTTTCGATTAAAAACTTTTCCAATTGGAAAAATATGTTTTTCGGTACGTGATCTCTCCTGACAGAAGGCTGTGGATTCGGGGTCACGTGAATCCACATAGTTTATTACCTTATTGACTAAAGATCTCGATGCTTCTTCTATGTTTATATTTTCTTTCGCTGAAGTTTCGTACCACGTTGAAAATCCCTTTTCCTTACAATATTCATCCATTTTGTTTTTATTATTGACTAAACCTTCTTTCGGTTGATCGCACTGAAACAAAAAAAAAAAAAGATGTTCGGGATATTAGGTAAAAAATTTTTTTACATCAAAAGAGAGAAAGAAAAAAACGTTTTTACCTTATTCGCTAGCAATATGCAAGGTATAGGACTACCATCGCTCAATTGAACTTTCGAATCCAAATCTTCTTTCCATTTGACGACGGCATCGAACGTCGCGCTTCTCGTCACGTCGAAAACTATGAAAGCTCCCACGGCTTCCTTATAATAAACTCTCGTCATGTTTCCAAACCTTTCCTGACCTAAAACAAAAAAAAAAAAATGAAATAAAATACTTATCGGGATTTCGGGATTTCGGGAACGTATATACCAACCTGCAATATCCCATAATTGAAGCCTTATTATCGTATTTGAATCCCAATTGAGAACTTTCAATGCGAAATCCACTCCTATGGTCGCGCGATAATGTTGACTGAAAAATTGATGGACGTATCTTTTTATTATGGACGTTTTACCGGTACCCAATTCCCCGACGACTAAAATCTTGTATAAATGCTCTCTTTGACCTTCGACGGGTGCCTACGACACACAAAAAACCGCAAGTGACAATAATGATAATAATAACGATGAAACGTTCGACGTTTTTCATATCGCGATACAAACGAATGCACGAAGAAGAAGAAGCAAAAGGCGATGATGAACCAGCGCAAAAAAATAAATAAAAGACGCGTAAACTACAGCAAAAATTCCTCTTAAATCTTACCGGGATTTTTTTCATTTTTTCATCGTTTTTATTATTATCATCATCGTTTTGTCCGAAATTAAATGGCGGAGCTTCGACTTTTTTTCTTTTCTTTTTCCTCTCGTAAAACAACCGATGATATTTCCGCTTCCTCTTCTTCTTCTTTTTTTTTTCCCCCAAACGTTTTCTTCATTTCCTCTTTCACGTTTCCGGTTTCTCTCGAAATGAATTTCTCATCCTCCGATTCTTTCGTTATTCCCGTTTTCGAATCGGAAGTTAAAACGATTCCGTCGTCGTTGCAACCGCCTCCGCCATCTTCTTTTTCATCATCATCATCACCATCATCGTGGTGTCTAACGACGTTTTCCAAAACTTTTTCATCTTCTTCTTCCATTTCTTTCACATAAACTTTTTTTTTTTTTTTTTTTTTTTTAGTTAATCACGATTTTATTCTTCTTTTTCTTCTTCTGCTACCACGTTTTGTTTTTACTTCCGTCGTGCGTTGAACTTGAATCCACCGCGTGTAAATTACCGTCGACTTATTATCTTCCTCCTCACCACAACTTTGATGTTACGTAACGCGAAAAGACAAGATGGTGTCGTTGTCGTCGTCGTCGTCGTCGTTACAACAACAAACAAAAAAAAATAAAATAAATCAACTTTTGATTCTTCCACCACTTTTCCTGTTTGTTCGAAATGTTTGTTTTCGTCTTTTTACGTTTCCAATAACATCATATTATTATTCTTATTCATCTTCTTTCTCTTTCTAATTTAATTACAAAAATAATTTTTTTTCTTTCATTTTTCTTTCTTTCTTTTTTTTTTTTACCTTTTATTTACTTTTACCTTTTCGACTGTTTGAAACTTAGAAACGTTCAACCCTTATATTACCCCCCCCCCCCAATTTTCTATTACGTAACGTTCGTATTAAATTACAATATATCGATTTTAAAACTACGGCAGCAGCTTAAAAAACTCCCCCCCTTTTTTTTTTTTAATCATTCCCGAACGCGTTTTTCCTGTAGGAATTTTATAAATTTTTTTCCGTCCCCCACCCCCCTCCTGTCCTCAAAATCACGTTCACTTTATTTATTTATTTTTTACCACCTGTTATCATTACAACGCATTTTTCGAACGTACGAACGTACTAACAAATAATAACACGCATTCAAAAAAATTAATTTTTTTTTTTTTCAATTTTAAATTCGAACCTGAAACCTTTCGATGTGAAATTTAAAACTATGTAACCCATCAACTGCATAGTCACAAGGTCAAAGAATAATATTCTATAGCCGATTGTTGTCAGTTTTCGTTTGCGTTTGTTTGTTTGTTTGTATGGCTTCTTTATATTTTTTAAACACGTTCTTACGTGGATACGTGAGTTTTTCATCATCATCATTATCATCTCATTCAATTTTAAAAAATGTTTTTATTTATAAATAAATAAATAGAAAAAAAAAAAAAATGTACTTCATGGGTATCATAAATTTTCTCTCTCTCACTCTCTCACACTCTCACTCTCTCTCTCTATTCATTTAACTATCTCTATATCGTGACTATTCCCGTGGGTACGTAGCAAACGTTTTACGTAATAAAAAAAAAACGAAACGGGAGAAATCGTAAGGGGAAACAATAAACGAAGGACGACAACAGCAACAACAACAACAACAACAACGACAACGACAACAATGTTGCAATTAAATTTCTTTTTTTTTAAAACACATTTTAGTGAATGGTACTAATAGGGATTAACGTGGCGGATTTAAATTTAAATCCGCGTGACCCGATGAAAGGATTAACCTTTTTTTTGTTTTTTAATTAATATATTAAAGAGGATTTTTATTTACTATCCACGACGACGACGACGACGACGTGGATTTAGACACGGCCCTCGATGAATGGTATTCGTCGTTAATCCGAAATTTCACAACAATAAATGGCTTTTTTGTGGGGGACCGTAAACATTCTGTTCCTTCAGTTCTTTTCCTAAAAACTTTCTCTCTCTCTTTCTTTCTTTCTGTCTCTCTGTCTCTCTTTCTCTCTCTCTCTCTCTCTCTCTCTCTCTCTCTCTCTCTCTCTCTCCTTCTCTCTCTCTCTCTCTTTTTTTATGACGGGAAAATTTTTTTTTGATACACATCAATGAGCGAATGGTTCTCGTTATCTACGACCGCCCTTTTTTTTTTTTTTATGAATCCCTCGGGAATAATTATTCGTTGTTTTGCGTCCGTAAAAATTTTGTATCCCTTTTACACCGTTTTCTGTTGTTTGTTTGTTTGTTTCCATTATTCAAAAAATATTGTTTGTTTTTTTTTTTTTGTCGTTCGTTATCGTTATTCTTTCCCCCCTCCCCCATCATTTTTATCGGTTTTGCGGGTAGCAAAAAAAAAGAAAGATACCAACCGCAACTAATCTATTTGTCAAGTACAAAAAAAAAAAAAAATTTTTGTCATCATTGGCTTTTGTAAAACTTCTAGAACTAATTTTTTTTCTTTTTTTCTTTTTCAGAATCCCGACTACGAGATGAAATCGGAAGGAAAAAGTCAAAACCGAAACTTCAAAGAAAAAAAAAAAAAAACGATGATGATGATGATGATGACGATCAGAAAAATTTCCGATCACGATCCTTAAACAATTTTTTCTAAACGTTTTCCATCTAGAAAGGAAAATCGATGAAAATCACACGCGTGCGACCTCGAAAAACAAAATAAAGCTACCGTAAGTAAACTTAAAACATTTTTTTTATTGTTTTTATTGAACGGAAAACACGCGAAACGTTTTTAACAGTCGAAAAAATTTTCTTTAAGTAAGTAAAAAGCAGCACACAAAAATTTATAACAAACGACAGGAATTCGTGCGCCATTTTTTTTTTTTTATCAATTTTATCTACTAATATATATATATTCCCTTTATTTATTTACAAATTTGATAATCGATAAAATTTATGGTTAAAAAAAAAATTCCAGAATCGAATAAAAACAAAGAGAGAGAGAGAGAGAGAGAGAGAGAGAAAAATTTACTTAAATAAGGAAAGAAAATGAGGCAACCTTTGACCCACGAACGATTTGACACAATTTTTTTTTGTTAAAAACAAAAACATTCGTCGTGTCTGGCGCCAAAATCCTCGTGACGTTCCAGAATTTCTAATGTTATAATTGCGGTTAAACGAAAACAAAACCCGGAAAAGTCGGGAGGGGGAAGAAGGAAAGCGGGGGGAAAAGAGGGAAAGTTTTCGGCCTTAATCCAAAGTATTAAAAAACTTGAAATGCCGACTTTAAATCATTTTTTTTTTTTTTTGACGGGTTAATTATGGATATGTTTTCGACTGGAACTGGAGAGAGAGAGAGAGAGAGAGAGAGAGAGAGAAAAATAAATTTTAACTGGAAAAAAAAAAGTTTTTATCCGACTCGCAAAAAAAAAAAAAAAAAAACACGAATTAAAAATTTACGTCCTTTTACTTTTTACTTTTTACTTTTTTTTTTTTTATATTTTCCACAAATAATAATAATAATAATAATAATAGTAATAATAATAATAATAATAATAATAATAATAATAATAATAATAAAACGTCATGCAAAGGCAAAGGGGTTGTGTGAAAAGCGAAAGTCACGAACGAATATTTAATAACGAAAAACGAAAAAAAAAAAAAATGGCGTCGATGCTAAAAAAAAATAAAAAAATTTACAAGAGTTTAAAAATCTCATCATCGACTTCCGATGGCGGGGGGGGGGAGGGAAATAATAATAATAATAATAATAATTGAATCTGGAATTTTATTTTTCCAGAAAGTTCGTTCGTTTTGAGAAAATTAAAAAAAAAAAAAAAAAAATAATTTGATTTAATGAATTTTTTTTTCATTTGTGAAATTCCAGTAATGGCCGATTTGAAAACGAATTTTTTTATTTTAAACTTTTCCAGCACATTTTTTTCTCTCGTTTTGGAGAAATGAGAAAATAATTAAAATTGCTGGAGTCAATAACGAAAAAAAAAAAAATTTTTTTAATCGATAATTTTTTATAAAAAAAAAAAAAAACCATAAACGACTCAATCACCGTAAAAATTTATACATAAGAAAAATAAATAAAAATAAATAAATAAATAATAATAATAATAATAATCACCGGAAATAAAAAAGAAAATTTCTCCAGAGATTTTTCCAGTTATAAGTTTAGCATTTTAATCGTCCCTATGAGTTTTTTTCTTTTTTTTCTTTTTTTTTTTTTTTTTTGGAATAAATAAATGAAATTGAAAACTTTATGGAAAACCTACCATAAATCACGGGTTAAATAGAAAAAGTGGGGAAGGAAGGGAAGGAGGGAAGGAAGGAAGGAAGTGACCGGACACAAACACAAAAGCATCAAATAAAAAAAAGGAAAAAAAAAAAAAAAAGAAAAATTTTAACAATATGGAAACCGTTTAGGGAAATAAAAGAAGGCGTGATTCATTAAACAATTTCTACGACATAAAAATCAATTTTTTACACGATCACAAATATATTTTTCAGGTATCGATGATAATAATGATAATAATAATAATAATAATAATAAATTAAATATTCATTCGCCGTTTAAAAGAAAACAGTTTAGGTAACACATTGACAACACATAAGACACATAAATAAATAAATAAATAAATTTTTTTTTTTTTTTTTATCACACTCTCAACTTGTTATCACGACCAAAATAATAATAATAATAATAATGATAATAATTTTTCTTATCAATTTTTTTTTTTTTGTATAAACAAAAAAGGTTCGAAACGACGTTTTGAGTGTGCGTGTGTGGGTGTGGGTGAAGAGCCAAAAAAAAAAAAAAAAAAAAATTAAAATTTCAGTTTAAGGGCGCGGTTAGGGTGGGGTTAAGGTACTAACATAAGTAAAGAAATAAAGCGATTTTTTTTTGTCAATTTCATTTCACAAGCGAAAACATGTTTTCATACTTGTACTTCTTGAATTCACATCAAAGACTCAAATAAAACTTTTTCCCCTACTTATTATTAAACTAAATTTTCTTTTCTATGGTGATGATAAAAACCGTTAAATTATTTAATTATATATTAATTGAATAAAAGAAAAAACTTATTATTAATTTTACATTTTTATCTTATTTTCTTTTGTTAATAATCTGAGTTTGAAAAAGAGAGTTTAAAAGTCATTAAAAAAAAAAAAAAAAAAAAAAAAAATTTTCAAAATGATTCTTTCGATATGTTATAAACTTTTTCATAACATTTACAAATCTATTTATTTATGCATGATGTGAGTTTGTTGTTGTTTGTATTCAATTTTTTTGTAAAATCGAATGCAAATAAATAAATGAGAAAAATATTAAGAATGAATGAAATTTTCTTTTTTTTTTTTTTTTTTACTCGATGATTGATTTTATGAAAACTGAATTCGATTATTCTTTTTTAGTATTTTGTTTGATATTTTTAACTTTAAACTTCAAACTAAAACTAGAATTGTTATTCCTACATGATAAAAAAACTTTCACTTAACTATTGCATTTAACTCGAGTAAAAATAAAACAAATTTGATGATGAAATTTTTAGTGCAATAAATAATGTTTTGTCGAGAAATGAATGAATTTTATAAAAGAATTTGTCGAAGAGTCACATGAAAAGTTTTTTTAAAATTTAAACTAATTGAAAAAATTTTTTTTTGCTGCTGGTTAAATAATTTAATTAAAAATTAAAAAAAAAAATAAAAATAAATGAAGAGCATGTGAGTCGATTATTATTATCATTGTCTTTTGTTTTTGTTTTTTTTTTTCAGGTTATGTTCTAAACATACGATTTAAAATGAGCTTATAGTCGAAATGTTTACAGACTGATAAAAATACACACATATTTAATTTAATTAGTCATTTTTCGATTTGCATATAGACAAATTTTTTTTTGTAACATTCACTTTTAACTTATTATCATTGAGATGATAAAAACAAAAAAATAGTTTAAATAAACTATCATTATTATAAGATTTAAAAAAGATAATAAATTAAATCAAAAGTGATTTATTTCACACAAATTGTAAAAATCGAATCGATCACATTTACACACAAACAACTTTTTTTTAAAATTTTTCCTTTTTTTTTTTTTCTTTTTTAGAATTTAAAAAAAAAGTTTAAAATTTATTTGTGATTTAACACATTTTTTAAATTACATATTAAAATTTAAATGATTTATTGGTAGATTTCAATGAATTAATGAATGATTTTTGTTGAAAGTTTTTAAAAAAAAATTTCAATTTTTTTTTTTTTTTTTTTTGAAAATTTTTTTTTTTTAACCGTCAAAATTAATTTAATATGATTTCAATTAGAGGGTAAAGTAATAAAATTTATTAAAATAACTTACCATTATTAAATAAAAACGTATATAAACGGCTTCGTTTTTGAAAAAAATAAATAATATGCGATTCTATTATTTTTAATTATTATTATTTTTCACTTTAAAATCATTAATAAATATTATAAATGAAAAAAAAACAATTTTAATCACGGTTATTATCATCTATCCGGCAACCATTTTGAAATTGAATTTTACACTGATACTGCAAACAAATGAAATAATACATTGTAACGCGTTTACAACAAAAAAAAAAAAAAAAATTTATCCTCGAATTTTAATATTTTTTAATCGTTAATATGTCGTTTAATTTTTTGAAGACATTTGCCATAAAAATAATTTAAAACACTCGAATTTATGTTAAAACCATAAAGCGATTAACGTAATTAAAATTTATTACAAAAATTTTTTTTTTTTAAAAAAACGTTTCAAATTTCAAAAACGAAAAAAGTAAAGTAACGCGCCGAAATAGTTTTAAAAAATTCCGCCAGGGTTCCAAAAAAATTGATAACAGCCTTTTTTCCGTTAAAATTTAAAAAAATTCGAATGTTCTAGAAATTCTTTTCCGAATAAAACAATTTGACGTTATAAATATCGTTTTTTATCGACAATTTTTCAGAAATTATATCATTTGAAATTTTTAAATACTTAAAAAAGTAATCTCGGATGGATTTTTGGAAAAAATTTGAGAGACCAATTAAATTTTATACGGATTAACCGTTATTGAAAAAAATTTTTGTCCATTTAAGGTTAGATTTTTTCTTTTTTTATGTTAAAATTAAAAGTGAATGACTTTATTATCATTAATGATGACTTTATTAATGATTATCAATACCAATGACTTTATATCAAAATAAAACTTTACAATAAGTTTAAAAAAAATAAACAATTTACTTTTTTTGTTATAAATTCAATTGAGTAAATAATAATTTATTAAAATTCAATAATGGGAGACTTCAAAATTCAAAAATGTGAAAATCTCAGTCTTTATTTTTATTTAAAAACTATAAATAAAACAAGTTCTGCTTCATTTCTTTTAAATAATTACATTTAATAAACATTCAACCATCAATCAATAAGATAAAATAAAACTTTTAGATAAACTAATTTTAATGTGATTTAAACAAAAAAATTTTTTTTTAAATTTATATTTATGTTTATTATTCATGTTTTATTTTGCAGGTTTCAATTCAGATTCCATCAAACTTTTATTATTTGTTAAGCAGAAGACTTCATTCATTCATTTTTACAAATTATTTTTTTCACAAAGGAGTAAAAATAATGTTTGATTGTTACATAACCTTCAGCACACACAAACATGAGGGCCTCAGGTATGTTTTTAAAATAACATATTTAAATCTCTTTTATTATATAAAAATTTTTAAATTTGGCAGCACTGTAAAGAGATACCTCAACATTTAAAAATTCTCATTTATATCAAATCAAATTTAACACACCTAAACAATTCAAGATAAAAAATTTATTATTTAATCAAGATGTCGATGACTTGTGTTTGTAACAACAACAAACATTACATAACGTTTTTGATAATGTTTTAAACACAGTAAAAAAATTATCAAATTTACAAAACGATTTTCAATTCGTTTTCTTCTTAAGTATTATTATTATTATAGCAATGAATTAAAATAACTTCCGGTTTAATAGTTACCAGTTATGACAAATTAAATTTTTTTTTCTTTTAAAGGTTTTCGACCCGATTGTAAAAAGTCGACGACGACGACGTTTAAACAACAAACAAACAAACAAACAAACAATATAAATGCAAACGAATTATCATAGTCGTGAGTTTGTTATTTGCTGATGCATTAAATTTTTAATAATAGTAAGATTGAATGAAAAGAAAAAAAAAAAAAAAACAAAATGTCTTCCTCATTATTATTAAAAACATTTAATCAATTTTTCAACTTTGAACTTTAAAAACAAAATTAAATAATTTGTTTAATATTAATTAAATAAAAAAAAATTAGGACCGTGTCAAGGATTGTTAAAAATCGTTTTTTTCCCCGATTTATCCATTCGCGACGACGTGTGACAAACGTTTTATTATTATTATTATTAATTTGAAAGGGTTTTGTTGTTGGGGTAACGATATTTGTAACGAATTAAAAATTAATTAATAAGTTTATGAATAAATTTTAGGGTGACAATAATTAGGAAATGAAATTGAATGTCTCGACACTTTACTGATTTATATTTTAAATAATAAGAGAAGAAACGCCATTTTCAATCATAAAATAGATCATCGGATGTCATTTTTGTTTTTGTATTCATTCGAAAGCGTTATCGTTACTAAAACGTTTGTGTTAAGGACGTGAAAATGTATAACATCCCACAGGATTTGTTACCGTTGCAACGTAAGTTTTCAAAACTTTCTTTTTTTCGGGGGGGAGGGGCGGGGAGGGAAGGGAGAGGAACAGAATTTTTTAATTGATTTAAAACTGTTTGATTTGACTCATTTTGTTTTTTTTTTTTTTTTTTTTTTTTTTTTTTTCAGAAAACGTGAAATTAGTCACGGCGGGTACGGTTGCAACTCTTTCCGGTTTGATTTACGGAATGTGGAAATATAATAATTATTTGAAAAATAAACCGCCAAAAAATTGGATCAAAATCGGTGAAATATCCGAACTTTGCATTTATCCCATCAAATCTTGCAAAGCGTTCAAATCTGATTATTTCGAATGTACACCGTTCGGTCTTAAATCTGGAACGTTGAGGGACAGGTAACCGGGATTTGAAACACGTTCGTTAGGACAAATTTGAAAACTTTTTTTTTATTTCCAGATCTTTCGTTATTCTCAACGATAAAGGAAACGTTATTTCCGGTAGGATATATCCGAAAATGTCACAAATATTTACCGTTTCAAACGGTTCGACTTTTAAATTATCATCTCCAGACATGAGTGATGGCGAAATTGAATTTACGTTAGATGACATTGAAAAAGGAAAAACTAAAACGTTCGAGTGAGTAATCAAACACTAACACCAATGATAATAATAATAATAATAAGTTTTGACAATTTGTATTTGAAATTTTTTAAAGAATTTGGACGGTTCCGATAGAAGGAAGAGATTGCGGTGATAAAATTGGAAAATGGTTGTCGAAATGCATATTAAACGAAGAAAAAGGTTTAAGACTTTTTTATTGCGCATCATTGAACAAAGGAAAAAGAATGAATCCGAAAATAACAAAAATAACAAATTTGACAAAAGTTCCATTGAATGAAAACGATGGAGTAAGTATAAAAACAAAAATGGACGTTCGAAAAAGAAAATTTTCTTAACATTTTTTTTAATTTTTCCAGGGATTTTTTTCCGATTCGGTTTCTTATCATTTGATATCGAACGTGTCGACAGAATATTTAAACACGAGATCGAATGGCGAAATAATAACTCCTTTAAATTTTCGCCCTAATTTTGTCGTGAAAGGTGAAAGGTTGATACCTTTCGAAGAAGATAATTGGGAATGGGTTAAAATCGGAAATGCCGTGTTTAAAAATCTTTCACCTTGCACCAGGTGAGTATCGTCGAGATAAAAACGTGGCATTAACCAAAAAAAAAAAAATGATAATAATGATAATAATAATTTCAGATGTATATTCACGACTGTTGATCCTGCAACTGGTCAAAGGTCAAAAAACATGGAACCTTTAACTTCGATGAAAAGGTAATGAAATAATTTAAAAAATTTTCACTTAAAAAAAAAAAATTAAATTAAAATTAATTTATTATTATTATTATTATTATTATTAAGATTTAGGAATTTAAGGGATCCTAGAAAACGTCAAATAATGCCGAGTCCAAGCATGGGAATTTATTTGGGACTTCGAACATATCAATCTGATATTAAAGTTTCCGTCGGTGATTCAGTCTACGTTCCAGAATCATGAAAAATTTTCCGGTAAGTTTTTATTTTTTATTTTTTTTCTCTTTCTTTCTTTTATTCCCTTCCCCCTCCCTCCCCTCCAGTAAATCGGTATGCGTATGGATCGGACGAATGACAAAAAAAAAAAAAAAATTCGGGAATGATTAAATCACGTGTCACCAATTTTTTTCCCTTTTTTTTTATATTTGTTATACGATAGATCACGTGACTTGTATTAAAAAACATGGATAGCCTATAAAATATCTAAAATTTTTTATTTTCTTCGTTTTTTTTTTTCTCCTCAATAAAATACAAATTAACAAACAATTCAATTTTACATTTGAAAAAAAATGAAAAGAAAAAATACGACAAAAATACAATAAAAATAAAAAATAAATTTTTCCAAATGTTTTTCTTACAAAAAAAAAAAAAAAAAAAGGTTAAAAAAAAAATATTATCATCATCATTATTATTATTATTATTATTATTATTTTTTTTTTTTTTAAATGGAAATCAGAAGAAGAAGAAAAAGAAAAACCAACCGAAAAAAAATAATAATACTTTTTAATTTCTCTCTCTCTCTCTTCTTCCTCCTCCATTTTTTTTTTATAAAAAATAATTATTACATAATTTTTAATGAAAATGACTAGGTTTCGCTTCGTTATTATTATTATCATTATCATTATTATTATTATTATTATTATTTCCCCCCCCCCTTTTTTTTTTTTTAAATGATTTCGCAAGAAGGGTTTTAAACGTTATTATGACGTCATCCCTTAAAACTCAATATAATAGAAAAAAAAAAAAAATGTCGTTAATGTAAAAATAAAACTGATTTCCCCCCACCCACACCCACCCCGCCCCCTCGCGAGTCCCTCCTCCCACTTCTCCCTAGCGTTCCCCCTCATCATTTCTCCTCCTCCTTCTTCCTTTTCCCTTCTTGTTTTTTTTTTTTTTGCATGTGACTGATTGATTTTAACAAATCATTTATTATTAATATTATATACATATATATTTTCTTTTTCTCCATCTTATGTACACGTAAAATATTATTAGTAATGATAATAATAATAATGATGATTATGTTTTTTTTTTTTTTTTTTTTATAAATAATAATAATAATAATAATAATACAAATTAGTACATGATTTAGGTGGGATCTTCGATGTTTTAAAAAAAAAAAAAAATTTTTTTTTATATATTAAAAATTTCAATGGCGATTAGCTACCTTCATTTATCGTTATTAACATCATCATCATTATTATTATTAATTAATTAATTTCGTTAGGATTAAATTAAAATAAATTTTACAATTTTATAGAAATTATTAACAATAATAATAATAATAATTGATGCGACAAAAAAAAAGAAAAAAAAAGAAAAAATTCGTATTCGCATCATTATGATTACATAATCACAAGTACGCGCACGTGCATAACACGTTTAATTAAAAATTATTATATCGTTCAGATCCCCTCTTTTTTTCTATTATCATTATTTAGAGAATACGACGAAAACTGACGAAAAAAAAACTAATCAAAATTTGTGACACGATACAAAAAAAAAAAAAAAACACTTTAATTGATATGCTTCTTTTTTTTTTATTCATCACAATCTTCATCTTCTTCTTCTTCTTCATCATCTTCTTTATCTTCTTCTCCTTCTTCTACTTCCTCTTCGACGTCATTTCACCACACACACACCGTAACAAAACAAAAATAAATAAATAAACCAAAATGAAATTTATCACGACAAATAAATAATAAATAAAAAAAAAAAAATAAATTTTCCTCCTTGTTACTCTCGTTTTCTTAACAGCGACCTATCATAACGATAACGATAATGATAATAATAATAATAATAATAATAATAAATTTCATTTGTTTATTTATTTATTTATTTTCGTTTTTTTTTTTTTTTTTTTTTTTTTATTAAATTATTAAAATTAAGATTCGTATCATTATTATACTTTCATATTCTTATTCATAAAAATTTATATAAAAATGTTTTTTTTTTTTTTTTTCTTATTATCATTATTATTTTGTATACATTTCATTTTGGGTTTGTTACGGGTAAAAACTAACAACCGTTTTTTTTTCTAAAAAAAAAAAAAAAAAAAAAAAAAAAACACGACCTGCCCGTGTTGACACTTTTTTTTTTTTTTGTCTTTTTTCTCTTTTTATTCTTTCTCCTCTCTCTCTCTCTCTCTGTCTATCTTCTTCTTCTTTCTTTATATATATATATAAAAAAAAAAACGCACTCCTAAAAAAAATTTTTTTTCTTTTTTTTTTTTTTATATTTAAATTATTATTATTATTATTGTTTTTTTTTTTTTTTTTCATGAAATTCATAATCGAAATTTTTATAAATAATAATATTAATTTACACATATACATATATATATATATTCGTGTGCGTGAGTAAAAGGTGCGTAAGCGAGCGTAGAAAACGTGTGCGAGTGTGTGTGTGCGTGCGTGAGTGCGTCACGCATCCGCACGCACTCGTTTTCGTGTAATTTCGCTTCGGTTTTTTCCGGTTTTTCCCGCATTACAAAAAAAATTGTCATATATCAAAATATATGACGTCACACACACACACTCGGAACACGTGACGTATGAACGCTTCGCACCTGATCACCTGATCATCACACGATGACGATGATTAATTGATTACAATGAAAATTTTGCGTGTACGCGTGTATGCGTGTAAGAGGTTATGAGAAAAGTAAAAAAAAAAAAAAAAAAAAAACAAAACAATTTGTCAACAATGTCACGTTTGCATTTCTTCTTGCGCGACGCGGTAGTCTAGGTAAAGTAATCAAATTAATCATCCATTTAATTTTTTTTTTTGAGCATTTCACAATACGTGTAAATGTGATTTAAAAAAAAAAAAAAAAAACGTGGCACCAACTTACGCCATCGATCGGTAAACGAGTGAGAAAAAAAATGGGGGGGGGGCGGACAATTTTTGTGCAATTCGCCATTTTTTTTTTGAAAAAAAAAAAAAAAAAAAAAGGGAAAAAATGCATTTTCTTTTGTTTTTTTTTTTTTTTTAAACATTTTTTTTAATAAATTTTTTTTGTTTTTTGTTTTTTTTTTTTAAATTCTCATTCAGTCAACCTCAAAGAACAACATCGGGCAGGGATCTCGAGCACTAGGCTCTCGAATTCTCGTTTTCGTGTACAATCTTTCTTTCCTTGTAGTAAATTTCTTCGGATTCTTTGTCGCACAGCAATAGTATGACGGCTCCGAAAAGGAAAATGGCCGCTCCCCAACCGACTCCGTAAGCCCAACCAAATTCCCAAACCGTCCTGTTTCCTTCGTTTAATTCTGCCACGAAGCAAACCGGATACACTACGAGTGCGATCAAAACGGATATAACTGAAACAAATAAGAAAAAAAAAAGTGACTCAGATGAAGGAAGTTCGTGTGCGTGGGTGCGTCGGGAGGGGGGGGGTGGAAGAAAAGAAAAACAACCGGAAATTGAAAAAGAAAAATCTATATTTCCTACATTCTCACCCCTCTCCTCCCTTCCCCCCTCCCCATTCGATTCGAGAGAGAAAAATCTTCGATCCTTATATTTTTATCAAAGACGTAAAAACATAATCAACTTAAAGGGGGATGGGGAGGAAAACAAGAAAGAATTCTCCAGAGAGAGAGAGAGAGAGAAAAACGTTGTTGACCCTCGTTTTCAACATTGACAAAATTAGAAAGAGAGAGAGAGAGAGAGGAAATTTTTTTTTTAAGGAAATTTTGGCCGTTGTAATGTCAACGACTTTTTCCTTTTCTAAATCGATCGACGGTCATCGTCGGGTATGACGTCACGCGGAATTAATACATGACGACACACAAAAGCACTCACGTGATAAAATCATAACGTAAACGGCGATCCTATAATATTTATATTTTCTCCTGTGATCGTTGCTCCTGAGACCCAATCCGGTCAATACGGTCGCGACCAAATCCGTTATCAACGTTATGATGCAAAGAGCGGCTGCTGCGGGTATGTACGCTGAAAGAATAAGAAAGCATTTGATGATCGTTGTTGGAACGTTATTAATATCGAGGGGGACACGGGGGGGGGGTGCATCAGACAATACGTACCGACATCTCTCGCCGGATAGCAATCGGGTGGTTCTATGACGTTAAAAGGCAATGGTGTGGGAGCGTGTTCTTCGATGCAGTGAGCGAAAAGTCCCTGACGCCATCCATCCGACATGAGCCAGTCCGAGGATCCCAAGGCCATTATCATTAATATCACGACGATCATGCCGCAAATGAAAGCGATGACCTGGAATGGTTTTTTTTTTTTTTTTTAAGAACAGGAAATACAAAATAATAATAATAATAATAATATTAGGGAAATCACAGACGAATCATTCGCGAGGTGCGGGGGCGGTGCTCTGGAGAGAAAAACAAAAAATTTTCCCTCGTTCGAGTCAACAAAATTTTTCCCAGACGCGCGATTATATCGACAAAAAAAAAAAAAAACTCGAACGATTATTCGTCATTTCCGGTTTTCCGATTGATTCAGTTTTCGATTCAAATTCACGACAGGAACTACAGCAAAAAAAAAAGTTATTCCTGAATCGGCGGCCATCAATCGATTTTTCACGTCGAGATTTTTTTTCCGATTTCACGAAACCTTTTTTTTTTTGGAATGTTAAAAAAATTTTTCGGGAAAAAGTCCAGGAAACCGGATGGTGAAAAAACACTCCCCTCTCCCCTTCCGTTCCCATTCCTTTCTTTCCCCTCCCCTTCCCTACCCCGGGTTTGGATTTGACCGCGTGAATCACGAATTCGTGGTTTTTGTTTTTTTTACCCATACATTTTCCGAGAGCGGGTCGGTCAGGCACGCAAAATAGCAATAACAAAACCTTAAATGAAACAAGCAAACAAAACGAAAAACGAAAAAAAAAATGGCTACGTTGCAGATCTTTAATTTTAAAGTGCACGTACACACGCACTCACGCACGTACACACGCACTCACGCACGTACACACGCACTCACGCACGCACGTATTTACTATTACTACTACTAACACCCTACATACTTGTGCGTATATAATTCTTTTGTTACCTGTGCAATATTCGCTTCCGACATTGTTTGTATCGTTATCGTTATTATTATTATTATGTTTTTTTCACGAAAAAATTTCCGTTTGTTAGTGGCAGACAAACAGGCAGTCAGGCAGGCAGGTTAGTAGGTAGGAGTAGTAACTCGGTACGAGACTTTTTTTTTTTTCTTCTTCTTCTTGTTTTCCTTTCGGGTGAGCGTGTATGTGTCTCTTTCTCTCTCTCTTTCTCTCACTGTATCTATCAATCTCTTTCACTCTCTCTTTCTCTCTCTAGCTAACTTCTAGACTCGCTGTCACATCACATTAAAAAATTCGTTGAAAAAAGTCATTTTTTCTTTTGTTGCTGTCGTTGTTGAGTTTTCATCTTATTTTTTCGCGAGTACCCGCCGATGGAGTGCCGACCGAACGCGGCAACGGTTTTATTGTTTTTTCCATCATTCCGTTTGTTCGTTTGTTCGCTCGTTTGTTCCGCACCTTAACTCGATTTTACTTGCAGTTAAAACAAAACACAACAATAATAATAATAATAAATTTTTCTATCGGTCGAATCGATGAGTTCTTACACGTTCGCCAACAAACAACAACAACAACAACAATAACAATCTAATCACATTTTCTTTTTTTGTTTTGTTTGTTCGTTTGTTTTCTTACTAAAAAAAGAATGAAAGAAAAAAAAAAGATAAAAGATAAATTATCATTATCATTAAACAACATTTTAACGAGTAATTAATTTAATTAATTAATTTATTGGTTTGTTTGTTTGTTTGTTTTTCCCGCGTTTTTCTCCCTTTTGATTTTATACCCGTGGGAGGACAACACACCGGCATTCTTTCCTCTCCCCTCTCCCCTCCCCCCTCTACCCAACACGTCGAATTCGTCAATTTTCTTTAGGCTTTTCCCATTTCCCATTCACGTTCTGTTTACTCACGTAAATCGCACGTTCGACCTTTGCCCTCCTTTTTTCCCCTCGCAAAAACAAAAAACGATTTGAATCCTGAGGGAATTTCATATTCGTTAATCGCTTTAAATTCTCCCTCCCCCTTTCCTTCCCCGTCCCCGGCCCCGGGTTTTTCCCACGGGTACCATTCGAACGCAAAAAAATTATAAAATTGACGAATGAACGGATGCGGATTTGCTCAAGGTGGGTGGGCTGAGGGGGGATAAAAAAACGAATGAAATAATAATAATAATAACAATAATAATAATAATAATTACAAAATGCGATTTTACCGTAATCCCCTCCCTTCACTCCTACCTACACTCCGAAACGTTCGTGGCTCGAATCGATTGATCAACTTCCGGATGAAAACAAACAAGTCGATAATAATAATAATAATAATGATGTTAATAATAATAATAATAATTCGGAGTACGAAAATATTTTATTCGATTTTTTTCGGGTTTACGGAAAACGGAAAACTTTTAACAAAAAAAAAAATAATAATAATAATTTTTTCTTCAAATTCGGGTTACGAATGATCCCCGCGGTGTCGACAGCATCCCGGATAACATTTTCGATCTGTAGTAACAAACAAACACGTCGAAAAACAGGAGAAAGCAGAAGAGGAAGAAGAAGAGAAAATGATACTTGCGCGCTGCCAATGGCACAATCGATCAAAAAGAGAGAGAGAGAGAGAAAAAAGGTTAACATTTTCCCGTAAAGGTTGTTTGTTATAACCTTTAAAAAAAATTTCAACCGACTCGACGAAATTTTAATTTTTTTTTTTTTTTTTTTTCCTTTTTCTTTTTTAAATGTAAATGTAAATTTAAATTCTCGTTATCGTTATTATTATTATTATTATCGATTTCACATACAACCTTTTCCCTTTCCCCGCCCCCCACCCCACTCCCCACTCTTCTCCTCACTTTTTTTTCAACATCGCGACAAAATTGATTTTCACCATTGTCGCGTCCGTCGAATGAAAAAGCGAATTAAAAAAGAAAAAAAAAAAACATAAACGGAAACGGAAACGAAATCGCGAGAATCCATAGAAAATAATAATAATATTAATAATAATAATAATAATAATGATAATGATAATAATTACGTAACCAAAGTGCTCGATCGAACGTATGCAAAAAATTTCGTGCTAATTTTTATTATTATTTTTTTTTCCGAACAATTCGTCGACGTTATTATTATTATTATTAATTTTTTTTCCAAATTTTCCACAAACAAACAAACGAACGAACAAACAAACAAACAAACCAAATCCGGAATATTTTCGATTTGAAACGAATGGAAAAAAAAAAAAAAAAAAAAACAGGCAACACCTTTTTTTTTTTTTTTCCTTTTTTCACTTTCCGTTAAAACGTTCACATTTCCCACTATTCGTTCCGATTTTCTTTCCTTTTCTTTCTTTCTTTCTTTCTTCCACTTCCTCTACTTCCACGTTAAAAAAAACGTAACAACAAACACTTGAGTTGTCGTTGTCGTAAATCGGATTTCGTACGATTTTTTACAAATAAAAAAAAAAACAAATCGATTTGAACCCACGGGAATAAAACGAAACGAAACGAAACGTCACGATTCAAAACACAAACTTCAACATCATCATTATTATTATTATCACGACTATCGTTATTATTATTATTATTATTACTATTATTAATATTATTAAATTTTTTAAATATAAAAAACGTCTTTCGATAAAACGTTCCAGTTGGAAAATGCATCGGAGAGAGGGAGGCAGGGAGGGAGGGATGGGGGGGGAACGCGTAAAACGTCGGCGGTACAAAAAGCCTGCGCGCCGACATTCACTTTCCCTACTACTACTACTACTACTACTCTACTACAAACAAAATGGAGGACGAATCGTGAGCAACAGCAAATTTTTTTCTTTTCCCTGCTGCTGCCGCTTTTTTATTTATTTTTTATTCATTTTCCTTGAAACAACAAACAACAGC